ACCCCATTCACTCCCCCTCCCGCTTATTTGTGACTGCCCGTGCTGTCAGTGAAGGGTTAACCTGCCCGCGCTGGGGTTGGAATTGGGCTTCCTGAGAAGTTTAGCTTGTTACTTCCAGCAATGCAAATCTTTTCCTTGCTTTATACAGTGTGTACAGTGAAATGTAGTGGGTTTTTCTTTCAGGCTCTCTCTTCTATCATGTTATTTCCCTTTGCAGGGTGACACTGGGCCCCAGGGATTCCCAGGAACTCCAGGGGAGCCTGGCCTCAAGGGTGAGAAGGTGAGTGTCTGGCCTTGGGGTAAAGTGGCAGCATGGGCTGGGCTCTGTGAGCTGACATGGTTTGGCCCCCAGCCGGCATGTTTCTGAAATGTCATTCTACTTTGTGGGGCTCTCATACAGTGGATAATAAATCTTCAGTTATATGCTCTATGATCTCTTCTCTTTGCTTAGGGTGACCCAGGGGTCAGTGTGAGAGGATCCCCTGGACCGCCTGGCCCACCTGGCCCACCTGGGATACCAGGACTTTCATCTAAACAGGATAAGCTGGTACGTATTGAGGGGATGGAAGGGTCAGATGAGGGGGAGGTATGCTCTCACTCTTGGCTGACTGCTTTTGCCTGAGTGGGGTTCTGCTGTTTCACCTCAGTGCCAGGGACTTGTCTTCCTATGGTGCCACTGAAGGCACATGTAGCTCAACTGGTCCCCTAGCCTGCAATGTCCACATTACATGTCAGGTCCCTAAGAGTTAGTATGAGATCGCTAATAGCATGGTTCCACTTTTGCAGTTCCAAATGTGCTCAATTGCAGGTGAACTTTTGAGGAAAAAATAATCAAAACTATTAATTTTGCTTAAGTTAAACTAAATTTCATCCCTATTGATAATATGCTATATGCCCTGTCATGTTAGACTGACATGCCATATGATATACATAACAGAACATTCATGATATGGCATACAAATAAGGTAATGTTATTTGTTATTTTTTTCTATTTGTATTTTTATAATATCAGTTACGGTAGGAAATTACTGAATTTCTAATTAGAACAAATGTCCTGTTAAACTATCAGTTGGGTAAACCAAGTAGCAATTAGCCGAATGTTAATTAGCAAACCAAATTGCCAATTAGAATACCAATTTCAAAATCAGTTTATAAAATAAAATTTGAACTGCACAAATAAGCTATAAAATATCATATGTTGAAATATACTGTAAAAGCTGAAACATTTTGACTGTGATGTTATGTCACAGCATATTATACATCATTCCACATGCTTTATGTCATATAACAGTTGAATTGACTTTAACATTACATTATAAATGAAAGTATAAAATATAATGACACTATTAAGTTGGGAAAGTCAAAACAAGCATTCAACATGGGTTAACTAAAGTGTCATTTGAATTTTTTCCAAAAAGAAATTTTAAAATTCTGTTTTGTGGGAAATTCTTAGATCTTGATTTGGAATGAAGAAAATTGAAATTGAACCTCCTACAGACTAGGAATTTGTGGGTGTCTCTAGATATGCTGTGGGGTGGTGAAGACACTTTAATTAGAGCCACTCTGACTAAGCACCCGCAGCATCATATTCTGTATTCAGCATCCTGCACTTCAAAGTGGTGGTGGGGGTGCTTGAACTAAAACTCATTCAACGAGCTTTAGTTTAAGTGCCCCCACCGCCATTTTGAAGTGCAGGGATGCTGAAGAGATGTGATGCAGAGGCTGCTGGAGCATGCTAATTGAATCTACTCCAACGCGTGTTAATTAGCAGAGCAAATGTCTGGTATGCATATAGGTGCCCTGTAGGACCAGACAACTCTAGTCACAGGACTCTCAGTGATGTCACCATTAGCACCTGAGCTGTGTGTGAAATGGTTTCAGGGTACAGATCTGCTCACCATCCATGCACTTCTTTTTCAGGTCCTATTTAGACTTTGCTTGCAGGGCACACACAAGACAGTGCCTCTGCCCCATGGTGACTTATCCTCTGCTGTCATTGTTTAGACCTTGCCACTTTTTGCAGCTCTTGTGAATAGGGAAGGGATCTAAATCACTTCCCTTTCCCAGAGGTTCTCTTTGCTGGTTGAGTAGTCTGGTGGAATAGTCCATGCTAAGTCCTTCAGTGCCTTCACAGCTGGATTGTCTTGGAGAAGAGGATCCGGATGTTCTATGCAGCAGATATCTGCATCCAAGCCTCATTTGATCACAAAAATGAGGGAATTATAACAAAGTTAATAAACAGATCAAACATCACTGGAATATAATCTGGGCTCAATCAGGACCATATGGCACAGCAGATAAATCCCAGAGTGACTGGTCTAAACAGCACTGTCATGGTTGGTCAAAAGCCTCCTACATAGGAGAGCCAATATCCTCATCCTGATAGACAGCCCCATCACATGGGAGTTATAGTAGTTTGGAAGAGCCAGCCAGAGCTTATGGTGTTCACAGTTATAAACCCTTTTTAAGTACTGTAGGAGATCAGGGCCAGGAGATGCTGCTGATCTGAGTCAAACCTTAGTCTGTGGCATAAATGCTGTGCATCCCCATCTGACTGTAATCTTGTCCTCTCTGTGTGCTTCTATTCCAGACATTCATTGACATGGAAGGGTCTGGGTTTGCAGGTGATCTGGAAAGTTTGCGGGTGAGTGTGCAGGCCCAGGGAAGTGGGATGATCCAGTTGCATTTCCAAGGCTTTGTTTTGTTCAATCCTCAAGCTAGGTAGTGTTTAATAAGACTTGCTCAGAGCAGGCCTGTATGACTGGCCCACCCAGCTGCCAGAGAGAGCCTAGTAAGTGTGCAAGATCTGATTGTGCCCCTTACACATTATTTTTGTCCTCTCTTTCAGGGACCCCAAGGCCCACCAGGTCCCCCAGGACCTCCTGGTGTGCCTGGCCTGCCAGGAGAACCGGGAAGATTTGGGATGAACCACACAGCGATTCCAGGTCCCCCTGGCCTGCCAGGCAAAGATGGAAGCCCCGGACTGCAAGGACCACCTGTAAGTGTGTGGAGGACAAGGCATAGTGGGTCAGTGAAGGAATGGGGAAGATTGTGATCTGACCACTTAATCCAGAGCTATTCCTGGCACTTCTCCATGTTAAGTGTATTTTGAAGCCTGATTTTATGCAGTTCCCCAGCCATTTCCATTGTGATGATATGGCCAGGACAGGACTCTACAATGATGGCAGCATTTGGGTTGCTTGATACCTCATGATGGTGACTTCCTAGAGGGACAAGAGAACGGGGTCATTGTTTCTCTTTGCAATTCTGTATGAACTGACCCCTTTCCTGGATCTGATAGCAGTCACCTGTGGTACTGTTTGTGCTGCATTTGATGGTGTGCATAGCTGAGGTGGTCACAGGATTATGGCTAGGGAACTTGCTGGTGGAGGTTTCTGAGGAAATGCATCTTCTCTAGGAATTGCTAATCAATCCCTTTGCTTATATGTGTCTGGCAGGGAGTGTAATGTACAATAATGACTGTCACTGAAAACTAAAAGGAGTCTCCATGGGCCCTGTAGTCTGTGAATACCATAGTCTTTAATGCACAATGTAATAGTCTTGGTGGTGCTGAGGGTGGGCATATGGGACAGTTTGTCACAGGTAAAGGGTTTGGGGTTATTGCAATTGACAGAGCTGACAATAGCCAGTTCTTAAACCTCTCTTCCAACTGAGGTTCTCTCTTTTTAACCTTTCCAGGGTCCTCCAGGTCCTCCAGGAAGAGACGGGTTACTTGGCCAGCCAGGATTCAGAGGAGAGAAGGCATGTGTCCCCTCTCTGCATGGTGCTTGGTAGAACTGGGACATCCTTACAGTAACATGTTACTGAGAGAGAAGCAGAGCTCCACAGACCAGCTAGCACTGTTTGGCCTGACCTGGAGTCAGAGAGGCCTTTTTAGTACAATAGTAGAAGTCTGTTGTACATAATAAATGAATATAGGCTTAACTGGCCAGTGCAGTGGAAAGCATGATGGAACAGTCTCTGTGGGCCTTGTTATACCATAATTTTGGATAGCTTCTAGAGCTCTTAACCCCTAAATTGTCTGCACATTGACATCTTAAAGTGGTTTTAAGCACTCATTATGCAACTCAGTGTTATGTCACTCCAAGGCACTACCCAGCTCCTGTTCCATTAACATGTAACCACTCTCCACAGATGTGCTGCCCAAGTTGAAGTCCTCCAGTGTCCCAGGATATCTTGTACCCCTACCCCTACAGCAGGGAGGAGAAGTCTGTCCTGACTTCCCAGTCCTCTAGTGGCAATTTACAGTTACAGCTCTTAGTCCTGTCCCTGCTCGCCAGGCCTCTAGTGGCAAGTCACAGCTATCCCAGTGGGGGAGAGTTGGAAGGTTTTTAGACTAAGGGTGTGACTGTTCCAAACTCTAAGCTAGCACTAACACCAATCAGCATCTGTGCGGCTCACAGTGTAAGGTGTAACAAGGCCCTATGGGTGCTTATAGGCCAAGTGCAGCTGTGCTGTATATGATGTAGGTTCCATATTAAAAGCAAGCTGGTGGCAAAAAGCAGTGTATTATAACTAGAGGTGCACAGATACATTGGTCCGATATCGGATTGGTACAGATATAAAGAAAATTGTCTATATTAGAAATCGGCCTGATGTGGCCGATAATTAGGCCAATAAATGGCCCGTGCATGCGTGCAGCCACAGTGCAGTACGTAGGCAGTGAGGAGCACAACCGGCAGTGTGGAGAGCTGCGTGCAGCTGTGATAAGTCTGTTGTGGTGGAAGGGGGGGGGCAGATCAAGGCCCCCCTCGCAAATAAGACATCAGACAATGTCTGTTTCTACCCTATTTGTGTGAAGTTTCACTCCTCTTTGTCTTCTTTTTCCTAGGGTGATTCCGGTGATTTAGGCCTTCCTGGAGCTCCTGGACCCAAGGTACAGTACCACACTCATGGGGTTTTCTAGTTCTGTGACTGTGCAGCAGTTTCCCCTTGTAGCACTGACTCTTTTCTGGGAAACAAGGAAACTGTTCTGGAATTAGCACCCACATTTCAGTTGAATTATGTCTGCCTTCATTTAAATTCCATTGTATCCATGTAAGACTGCAGCTTCTCATCCAAATATTTGATCACTGTGGCTTAACAGGAAAGCCCATTGGAGTCATCTTGAAGAGCTCTGAAGTGTACCCAAGAGCATGGAAGGCACTGGGGCAAAGTGTCATTTTTTGCAGTGTGTGGCTTGTGTGCGTTTCTAGGGGTGTGTTGGGCAGTGGCGATGGAGCAGTTTTCTGAGTTCTGACCCCTGCTTTTCTACTGAACTGATTTTGTGACCTTGCTCAAGGAACTTTCTGTGTCTGCACTTTCCCACCTGTAAAATGGAGGTGCTGAATATTTATTTAACTTTTGGTCAAGAGCCTTCAAATCAATGGCTACAGCTGGTGCGCAGGCTCACTGTAAAAGCTAGTGTTCGATAACAGTTAGTAGTGTGAAAGAGCCAGGAAAGAATAATCTGCCTTCTGCACCACCATATTATTGGAATAATCCCACCCCTGCCCATGTGTTTGTGTGGGCAGTACTGAAGGTGAAGGGTCTCTGCATAAACCTGTCCCACATGTATTTGTAGTTAGGGCAAGACACGATTTGGCTGTCTGAGCTTGCAGTATGACCAGTGGAAATACCATATTTACCTAAATCCAAAAGGACTTTGAATTTATGACAACTGTCTCATAGTTAGATTCTATACATGGAAAAGTATATTTTGTATCATCATAAATTCATCTGCCCCACTGCTGTGGCAAAGAAAGCAGCAGCAGGGGGGAAAACAGCAGTGGGGAGGCAGTCTCCCTGTCCCTCCCTCCCCCAACCCCGCTGGCCCTCAATACCACTTGCCCTCCCTGCAGCTGGGTGCCCCAGGTGTCTGCCCTCTCCGCCACTTCCCACTCCCTTCCCCCCAGTGCCTACTGGCCCAGCCACTTGCTCCCTCCTGCTTCTCATTACCCCGTGCAGTGGCTCTGGCTTCAACTCCAGCCCTAGGTACAGAGCACATGCTGGCTTTGGTCATGGCCAGGAAGCAGTGGCAGCTCCAACCCTGACCTGGGGCCGGGCCCAAGCCAGAGTCAGAGTAGCTCCACCATCCCATACCATATGGTTTCTCTGTGGTCTCCCTCAGGCTCCTTTCTTCCTGCAGCATGTGATCTCTCCTGAACTCATCCCCTGCACTGCGTGAGTTCCCCCACACTTGCCTTTCCCATTGCAGCTCGGTCTCCCCTGGGTTGGAGCTGGAGCCACACCCGGAGCCGCTTGCCCCAGACCATACTAGCATCCAAGTTGAGGTTTCTTTTTCTCCATGTTTAATGGGAAAAAAATCTTGTCTTGGGTACAAGTAAATATGGTAGCTCAATTTAATGAATGCCTTTGGCACATATGATGCAGAGTCACTGAAGTGGGAAAAGGTCATGATCCTGCCAGCTCATTTGAGTGTAACTTTGCCCACTCATTATGAGAAGGAAACCACAACTATGCCTAAACTTTCACAATGTCTTGGCCTAAATCTGTAATACCACAATATCCTCTTTAAAGTTACTCTTCTGATTTCTCTGCTTTAAAATGACATGCAACCTTAGAACTAGTTGCACAGTACAAACCTCCTTATTGTGCATACAAGTTTGCTTCCTGGTTTCCTTGTCATGCTATGGGATCTCTATTTAATTTGCTATTACACTTTCTTGTTATAATTATTTTATTTTGCTCAGAAAGCTGCCATATTAAAAGCACTTGAAGAAAACAAAGCCTTATTTTTCATACCCGAGAGAGATTATACTTGGGTGTTCTTTTGCTGGAAGCACTGGACAGAATGGATAGGATTCAAAACAATTAAAATTAAGTAAAGTCAAAGTTTTGAGGCTATAAAACTGGCAGAAATATGTTTAAATAGTAGACAAGACCCCACACTAAAAATGGAAACCCAGAACGCAAATCCAGGGGTTGATTTACCTGGGAAGAGATATGTTGATCAACTGACTTACAACAACTGTCGTTGTTGCAACAATGCTCCAGCTGACTTGCAATCCCCAACAGTATGTGAGTTCCAAATGAAGAGCACTGAATTGTGACATTATTCAGCTCCTTACTTAGGGAGAGTGCTCCTTCAGCCTCCAGATTACCCACTCTGGTTCTCATTCCCTGCATATTGTTGTTGTAATATTTTATTGTGTGACTCCCATTCTTCCTGTCATGCTCTCCACATTTCACTTATAGCAGATGTAATCTTCTGTTATGCTATTACTCCCATTATCTCTCGCAGTAGGAGGCCTAGAGAGAGTGAGAGAGACCAGCCAAACCAAATCTCTTGTGCATTGGCACAAAGTCCAAACTCCAGCAATTTAGCAAAGGACTGAGGTGTCTGCTCAAGTCCATTCCAGTTCAGTAGCAGGCTATACATATTCATGCTTTGCTGGAGTTGGCACCTACTACTTGGTTGAACTGAGGGCTACATTCTAAGATGTCCTGTTTACCACAGGAGATGTGGCATTGTGCATGACAACCATGAGACCAGCATGTTGCTCCTGTCACAGTCAAACTCTTTTCTAAGGGTCTCGGGGGAATTTCACTGGTGTGGAGGGTGAATTTTGTTGGGAGTGGGGAATGGAATCAAGGAAGCAATGTCAATATTGTATTGTGGAGGTGGCTCTTGTTTAGTTACAGCATTATAACTGAAAGGTGAACACTGTACCCTGTGCAGATTGCACAGAACTCTCAAAATTTAAAAAGAGCAACAAAACAGGTTGTAGATTTTTACCAGGGCATTGAGTTACCCGCCTGACTGGAGCAAGGCAGTTCGTCTCAGTGACAGAATGTCACTGGAACTTCAGGAATTACACAGTATAACTTGTCTTTGACCAAGGGCATCCTCACCACGGAGTGTCAAATTCCTGGGTCCCCTTCTGTTGAGAGGCCTTTTCCAACCAGGCAAGATGTGCATCTATTAAGCAACACTGAGATCCGAAGGCCAGATCTTCACCTTGTGTAAACTAGATCAGGATTTGCAAGTCAGTGGAGCTATGCCAGTTTACACCATCTGTGAAAGAATCTCGCCTCTAGATATTACTTCTAGTGCAGAATCTGGTATTGATATAACAGAAGATACTAATGCTAAAATCCCAACAAGCCCATTTCCCATCTAATGCCAGCTTTGGAACAGCCTGGGGCTGTCACATTTAGTCTGTCACCCACGCTCATTGTTTCATTATCTGCTCATCACTCTTCTCTCTGTCTCCACTCACTTTTCTCCCATCTAACCAGAGCAAACTGCCTCCTATCCCTTCCTACCTGTTAGAGCTTCTTTCTTACTACTCCACATCCCCACCCATGGGAGAGGCAAGGTTTGAGGTAAAGGCATCGTGCATGCATGCAGATGGCATGACTTGGATAGATACATGCATTTGTCATTCACTTTTTCAAAATAAGATAATCCAATGGTGAGAAAAGGTGTGTTTCTGCATGTCATAGAATCATAGAAAATGAGGGGTTAAAAGGGACCTCAGGAGGTCATCTAGTCCAGGCTCCTGCTGGCAACACAGGAGCTGAAACTATTCTAAAACAAAAGGCAAAGCAAGAAATATAAAAGGCTATCCCCTCGTCTGGGTGAACGTCATAGTTCTTTTTACTATGGTTTACACTACTTATAAAAACATGCAGTGCAAACAGAAAAGCATTTACACCACTGGCCTTTTAATTGCTACTGCCAGAGTGGCTCATAACATGTGTATATGTGCATATAATGTAGTTAACAATTACTGCTGAATATTGCTCCTTCTGCATGTAGTTTAATTCTGTATTGTTCTGTTCCTGTGTAATGCTTAACTTTCTGAGAGACAGATATCAATCAGTCTGTTACAAAGTAAAACTGATTACAGTCTCCATTTCCATGCTGTCTCCCAGATCAGCTTTAAAAGTATGCAGTAGGCAAGGATAGCATTATGAATCCCCTGTAGCATGAGCATGAAGCTGGCAGTTCTCAGTGTTTCAGTCTGAGCTCTTGTTGGATGTCTAGAATTCTTCTAGTACACAGTGGAAAAATTCTAGATTTTAAATAAATAAATATTTCATATTTAACTTGAAAAAATTGATGCTGGGCTTTCCTTGTATCCTGTATATAGTTGGAGAGAGGCATGTTGGCTTCCCAGCTCTGCGGACCTTTGAACAGCATTGCTGAAATAAAACTGTGCTTGGTGGTCTCAGACTGGCCCCTAGTGGCCATTTTCCATACTGCAAAAGCACTGGCTGATGATGAGAAACACCATTGTCAGGCTCTGCTGAGAAAAGGACGTGGAACTGTAGGGCAGGGCCTGGGTGCACAGCCAGAATTGTCTGGGCACAAGGCCTTGCCCTCTCTCTACTGGGATCTAACTTCAGCTATGAGTTCCTCACCTCGCTGAAAAGCACTGAAGGTGCATGTGTTTCTCTGCCTTATAACACAGTCTAATGGAGCAGACAGTCCTGTGATCTGCTCTGAGACACGGCCAACTGACAAAGTTTTGTGGGTCTGTGCAACTGTGAACACTCATTTTACTTACCTGGCTTGCTCAGCCTTGGCTTATGCTTTTGGTTTCTGCTGGGGGAGAGGAAGTCCTCTCCCCTTGGCTCAGAAGCTTATTAGAACCCATTGCCTTGGTCAGACAGATGTAGAAGCCCTTTAAAGAGTAGGAGCTTTCCTCCTTCCGAGGGCTCTGCAAAGTCAGGGCTCCCCTGATTGCCTGGCTGTATCACATCTCTACTTTCTTTACTCCCATGCAGGGCAGTAAAGGAGAAACTGGACCACAAGGATCGCCAGGGGAAACAGGGTTGGCTGGCCTTCCTGGACCTATTGGACCCCGAGGACAGCCAGGTCCTCCTGGTCCTCCTGGACCTCCAGGGCCAGGCTATGAAGCTGGATTTGTAAGTACTAGTGATGGTAATCATTGCGTGCCTGCTGGTGTGGCCTGTGCCTGCGAGGGCTTAAAGAGGCAGGGCTGGAAGAGACCTCCAGAGGTCATCTAGTCCAACCCCCTGCCTGAGACAGGATCATCCCTACCAAAACAGTCCTGTACAAATCCATAATCCTAACCTCTTAGTTAAACTACAGTCAACCCTAAACAACAGAAGACATAACAGCGTAACCTGCCACAGGTAAAGCAGGAGAACTAAGCCAGGCAATATTCTGCTTCTGTAAAACATTGTTAACATAGACTCAAGAGGTCCGAGGTAGAGCACCCCTTGTTATAGAAGAAGATAAAAACACCTGTGCTCCATACCAATTGGACCAGGGGGTAAAATTCGTTCCTGACCCCAGATATGGTGATCGGTCTGAGCCTGCATGGAAGAACCTTCTTTGGGCTAAGTCTTGGGTGCTGTAAAGGCTGCCTCTCCCAGACTGTGGTCCTACAACAGGGTGCATTTGTACTGACAGGTCTCTGCAGCTGTGAGGCTCAAGTGGACCATTTCAGTGTGGGGTCCCCCTGCCCATATTCATTGGGCCTTTCCAGGTATTTCCTAAATTGCAGGTCCCAGAGATGAGTTGGGTGGAAAAGGGTCTTCTCTTTGGCTGTTGAGGAAGCTAATTTGGATGGGTGGCCTACACTGACTGCCAGACTCTGGGAATCCTGAAGAGCTGAAGCAGTGTCACAGGTGTTTTGTTAAAAAGAAGAGGGTGCAGGTAACTGCTAGGCACCAGGCTCTCTCCTCTGTGCTGTAGCTCCCTGTTTATACTACACACCTGCTTGGTATGTGCCTGGTGTGACTTCTGCATCAGGAACCTTTGTCCTATGCCTGAATTTCAGCCAGATTTTCTTGCCCTAGGGTGATATGGAAGGCTCAGGCATGCCAGTTGTTTCCGGTGTTCCTGGGCCACGTGGACCTGAAGGGCCACAGGTAAAACTCATCTCAGTCTTTTAATAAGTCCTCTTACCCCTTCCTGAGGATTTGCCTACCCTGCCCACTAAAGTAGGCACTCTACAGAGTCCTGAGCAAGGGATTTAACTCCCCAAGCCCCAGGCTTCATGCTTTTCTGCCTAAAGTTACAAAGCATGTGACAGGACTCAGCTTTGCAAAAGCCTTGCCTCAGCCTTCACTATCCTATGTGTGCCAGAAAACCCATACCTGAATGGGGTCCCAAACAACAGTACTGTCATACAACTGGAACAGTTCCTATTCACAGTCTTAGCTGTTACGGCTGTGCATTGCTGTTGAAGAGAAAAAAAGAAAGTGCCCCAACAGGACTCCTTAGACTTCACAGTTATCCCCAAAAGGACAGTGCTAGGGTGGCCTGTCCTGCCCTGTCACATGGCAGGTTAGGGGCATTTTCAGAGCAGGGAAGGACAAATCCTGAAAAGAACATTCTTTCATTTGGAGCAGAAGATGTCTTTAGATCTCTGTTACTGTTACTGTGCAGTCAAATTAACGACAAATCTTAATGTGCTTCTTGGTGAAAGAGACTTTCCGGGGAGCTGGGGGGATGCACTTTCCTTTGGCTCCTGATGTTTGGAAGAATTCACCTGTTGCCATGTTTTATTTGTTCCCCTTTTTATGTAGGGGCCACCGGGACTCCCTGGACTCAAGGTCAGGATACATTTTGAATCTGTTCCTCTGCAATGATAGGACTTATGTGGTTTCATCCACAGCAGACCATTACAGTGCGATGTTTTCTCTGCTAAGAGCTGCTACTCCAGTAGCTGAGCCTGACCCCTGTTTCTTAGCATGGTCACTAGGAATCTTTCCTCTGTAGCCTTTTTACATCCATCCTGGTGTATGTTATGGAAGAGGATAATCTCTTCTATAATATGTGTTAAGCAACAGATAATAGAGCATGCCAAGAGTAATTTATGTCTGTGGACAGAGTAGCAAGATCTGGTTAGAATATTATGCTGCTGTCTTAATACAAAGTTATTCCAGCAAGTCTGTGTATGGCCCATTCCTATACAGCTTTGATTCATGCACTTCAGAGGGCTACCATTGTCCAGCTGGTGTCCACTGATGGACAGTGTGCAAATGCAGACACTTGGGGAAAAATCCTGAACCACTGAAGTGATAGCAGTTTTAACACTGATCAGCACAGCAAGGATTTCAGTCTTGGACTTTTCTGTAATACTCATTAGTGCTCTGCCTCTGCTGGGAATTCATTCTCCTGAGACAGTGCCTGGCACATTGCCTTCTTGCTGAGGAATGGTGGAAGTTTGTTTGAGCATACTACTCAAACCCCAAGACCAAGGGGTTGTTTCCCAAGGCACAAAGGGTGGCTAGGGCTCTGACTCCTGCAGGAAGTCTTTGGGAGTCAGGCAAAGGGTATCAAACTGCCTTCTGAGCCTTGGAAATCTTTGCCTTAGTAGCAAGTGTCGTGCTGGCAATGTTGTGGCTTGGACAGATGCTAATAATAGTTTTCAACCCTTTGGTTCCCCTCACACAGCCTGTAAGAGACATGTCATTTGTTGGTGCATACAAACTGTGCCCCAGACAGAATGGCTGCTTCTCTCATTTGCTTACTTTTCTTTACCTTTTAGGGAGACACTGGCAGTTCAGGTCAGCCTGGTGTGCCAGGACAAAAGGTAGGATCCCTTCATACAGCTTCAGAAAATCTTAAGACCTCTGCCACTGCTCTTCTGAGTGTTAGCTTTGGAGGGGCTGTGGGCCCACTCCTGCTTCTGCCCATTTCTATGAGTGGCTTTCTGATAGCACTGTTGGGAAGTGGGTGAGGCCCCATATCACTGAAACTTTGGAACTCTTGGAATAATGCCTTGTTGTACTACTCCGTATAAACTGACATGGAGCGAGATCTTTCAGGCCAAAGGTTAAATTGCAGTATGATATAATTGTCCTCCCTCTCTCTATTTATTTATTACAGGGAGATCCTGGTACTCCAGGGACAAATGGTCAGCCTGGATTGGAGGGCTTCCCAGGACCTCAGGTGAGTGCAGGAATTACCATCAATGATGGTTTGTATTGGTCGGCCAGGAACGAGTGGGAAAGGCCACTCTAAAAAGTCTGTCGTGTTTGGAAAGAGGTACTCTCCACTTAGATTATTTACCTGCAGGTCATTCCAAATGGTTGTGCTGTCTGTTGCAGATATTTTAAGCTGAGTAGTCTAAATCAGTTTCAGTCATGGAGTCATGGAGTTGGAATTCCGCATGCAGATGTTTCTGCTGCTTTTCTGTGGGTGTTAGTCTCCCCACCTATGTGGTTACCTACCAGCCACATTGGATTCTCTCTTTTCATCACCTGGGTAGCCATCTTGCACTGCTGATTTTCCTCTCCCACTTGGTGACTGTCCCTTTCCAGACAGTGCTGGGAACCTCCAGCTAAGCGTGTGCTGGTTCCTACGTGCTGGGGTAGCAGCCAGTTAAATGAGGCCTGTGTTCATGGAGTCACTTGAAATAACAGTGCCTTCAGCCGGACGGATTGATTTAAATCAAGACTATTTGAACCAGTTATTTAAATAATGATTTCAGTTACCAAGTGAAAAGTCTCAATTTAAATAGTCCCTTTTTTTGTACTTCAGCTAGTTTCTTTAAAAAAGTATATTGTTATTCATTGCTATAACTATTAGAACAAGTAGACTTACAACTCAGTAGAGCGGTTTCAATTGACTTAGGACATCTCTTTACCCACTGATGAGATTACAGTGTACTCTAGGTATACAGGTTGTAGCCATATTGGTCTACAGGCAAAAGGAGTCAGAACTTGTGGCAGAGGTGATATCTTTTATTAGATCAACTAGATATTTACAAAAAAAAAGACTTTTTAAAAAAATATCTAGGTGGTCTAATAAAAGATATCACCTATGCAATGAGCTCTAACAGTACACTTCAGGGATGTGAAAGGTTAAATGATTAATTATTTAAGTAGTAAGTACAGTGATAACTGCTTAATTACTGCTCATCTTTTAGCTTGGGGCAAGTGTTGAGAGGGAAGGCACCAAAGGAGCTACTCTAGCCTGTAGAAGCAGCCTTGCAAGTGCATCTTTATTAACATCAAA